TGCTTTGGGGTTTGGAAACTTTTAATTTCTAAGTTCAGAAAGAAAGAAAATTGATATATAGAATAAAGTAATAGAAAAGAAAAGAAATCAACAAAAATATTTTTTTAAATAGAAATACAGAATTCTGATCATTAAAAAAATTCCATTTTTGTACTTGAAGTATTTATACTTGCCAAAGCCAGGCTATTTTCTTTTATGTTTCAAATCGTGATTCAAACCACATAAATACACAATTAATGAAGAAAATTTTAAATATAAAATAATTTGCCACCATATTAGGCAAAGTAGTTATTTTTAGTAAAGTACATTTAGCGTTTACATCATTCTATTTTTTTCCATTATCTCAGTTTATAAACTTCCCATTCTTATCTGTTCTCTATTTTATTTCTCTACTTTTTTTCTGGGAATGGAATAGATTGGGAAGAAATTCTTTGAATACTAATGCAAACATCAACTTTAAAATAAACAAAGGAAACATGGAATTCTTTCACTTTTGTTTCCAAATATTTTTGCTTGTACCTTTCTTTTGGATTTTTCTAATGATTCTTTACTTCCTTCTGTCACTTATTCATATGTATGCCTTTATATAGGAATGTTCATGTTATAGACTATCTTATTTATCACCTTTGTCAAAGAAAATATATCTAAGTTTTATATATATAACATATATATTCTATTGCATACATGATAAAACAAGTTTTCATTAGTTAGTTTACCTTTAAATCTTCAAGATTTATTGTTTTATTATTTCCTCTTTACTCATTTTAAATTGTAGGATCTTTCTTTAATGTTAAAGGTTGTTTTAAGTACCTAGAAACTTGAACCACAAATTTAATCCGAAAATAATACTTTAATCCTAGTTAATCCACATCATTGACCTTCTGTGCTTGCAGCAACAACAATAGTGGAGTGTCTGGTGTATAATCTCTTGTGTAGACCCACAGACTCTGGCAAAGACTAAGCCAGAGATTAACTGCTCTCCTTTGAGATAGTAGTTTGCTGATTTTTAGTAAGAGACTATATAGGGTCTCTTTTAATCCTTACAAAGGCAGGCTTGTTGTACCCATCTTGTCTAATTTGTAAAATGAAACTAGGTCAGATCAATTATAGATAGCTGTGAGTTGCTCTGAGTAGTTAGGTTATAAAGCAAGGCTAGTAGTTATTAAAATACATTTTTTCTTGTCAAAATAATTTTAAAGACAACTGTCCCTAGTGACAGTAGAATGGGACTATGATAATATGACAGGGCTGTCTTTCACTGTGCAGAATATACACATGCACACACATAAGACAATGCAGGGTTTGTTTCTGTGTTTGTTAAGCTTTGGGGATGAGAGGTGAGAATCAGAGCAGATAATCAGGACACTTCTAGGTCTCACTTATAAAATGGGTTTAGAATTGGTGGTAAGAGACAAAGATGAGTTGAAAGGTTGTGCCTATATCCTAACCACTGAGATTTTTTTTCAGATTAAAAAGGAACAATTGGGAATTACAGAGCTAAAATAATATACTTTCAGTAGAGAGATATGATACTGGTTCCAAAGTCTTTATAGAAAAATAAACTGAGATGCCAGAGCTCTAAATAATCATACCAATGGCCTATACAACAGCATCAACAAAATTAAAAGTGGTAATTCAATCTGCTTTATGTAATGTTGCAAAACAATCAGTGTACTTCTGCTTCAGTGAAACATCCAGAAATCAACTGCCTTTCACTTTCTGCTATAATTCAGGGTATGGGAGTGGAATAAAGAAGAAGTAGTGAAAACAATAAATGGATACAGTTTGACTGGTATGGATAGAATTCTAAATGAACTATTTCCTTTTGTAATTACATTAGAACAAAATAGATCTTGAACACAGGCATACTTTAATTCAAATGTAGTTCTGCCACTTGGCCGTCTTATGATACTATGAACATTTTTAACTTGTCTTACTTTCTTCACCTGTTAAATAAACAAAATCATATTTCATAAAGTTTCTATAAAGAGCTTGTTTTAAGGAGTGTCCCCTTTCATCAAGTTGTCAAAATTGCCATGAAAAATAGAAACAACTATTTGCTTAAATCTTTTGAGGAAAAATGTTGTATAAGATAATCAACAAGGGGCTAGGAGATGGCTCAGCAGTTAAGAGCACTGACTGCTCTTGCAGAGGATCTGAGTTTGAGTCCCAGTACCCACATGACAACTAACAACAGTCCATAACTCCAGTTTTAGGGGATCTGACACCTTCTGATCTCCATGTGCACTGGTGCACTTATACACATGCAGGCAATACACTCATACACATAAAATAAAAAATAATAATTTTAAAAAGATAATCAACAGGACCAATCTAGTTACAAAGTATACCATCTCAATATCTTTGCAGGTAGTGTCTGCCTCTCCTTGAGAAGTTCACCAATTATCAGAACTCTCCTAGAGATTCTGTTGTATGTGAAACAAACTTGGGGAGCTGAGCCTACTAATTTACCATGCAGACGTTTATGAAGTCAGAAGACTAATATCAATCTTTCATGTTATATATATTAAGTAAAGAGCAAAGAAAGATACTGAAATTTTAAGTAGCAGTAAGATTTCATTTTAAGGGAACTGATTCTGGGTGTAGTACAAACCTATGAAGGAAGAATGAAAACTTTCTGAACAATGATTTAGGGAATGCACTAACACTTTTAAGTATTCAGGACCACCCAGAATACCATTAATGATCCCTCTGGGAAACTGGCATGATGTCATGGGGCTGCCCAGAACATCATCTCTGCATTCACTGGCCTTGCCAGTGCTATAGACAAGGTCATCCTTGTCTATAGGAATGGCATAGCCTTCTTGTTCCTGCCCCCAGTGTGTGGATCTGACCTGCTCTCTGGAGCAAACTACCAAATAAAATGAAATCCTGAAGGTGGTGAAGCAGACATTGGAGGATCCACTAAAGAGTATCCTGGGCTATGCTGAGGACCAGATTGTATCCTGCAACTTTAACAGTGACATCTGGGGCAGTTTGATGCTCAGGCTGTCATTTCCCTCATTGACCACTTTCTTAAGTTCATTTCCTAGTATGACAATAAATTTGGCTATAGCAACAGAGTGGTAGACTTCATGGTCCACATGACCTCTAAAGAGTACGCAGCCATTACCCACCCACCCCAGCAAGAACACAAGAGGAAGAGGTCCTCAGGTGCTGGGTAGTCCCTGCTCCAACTCAGGCCCCAACACACTGAGCATCTCTCCTCAGAGAATTCCAGATCTTCAGAAGAATGAGAGAGGTTTGGGGAGTCATACTGTCTCAAATACCATGAATAAACTTCACAGCACTACCACCACCACCACCATCCTAAAAAATAAAAAAAAATTCAGGGCCAACGAGATGGCTCATTGAGCAAAGGTACTTACATTACAGTCCAGCTTGAAAACTGGCATTTGGTCCCCAGTGCATGGTACATGGTAGAAGGAGAGAACCAACTTGGACTTGCTTTTGGATCCTCAGCACTGACATAACAAGCTATATATGGCCACACCTCTACCTGTAATCCGAGGGCTGAGGGTGGAAACAGGAGGATGACTGAACTGCTGGCCACCAGTCTAGATGAAAGTTCAGTGAGAGGCCCTCTCAAAGGAATAAGGCAGAAAGTGAAAGAATAGGACACCAGGTATCCTCCTCCGGACTTGGCACATGCACACAGACAGGTGTATTCACAGCACATGTGTGCATACATCATATACACATATGCCAACACAACATATACACAATTTTTTTTCAATATCAAGTGTGTTCTTAGTAGGAAAGGAGTGAGATAGAATGAGGGAAAGTGCTCTTGGCAGAGAATAACACTCCAAAAAACCAGCACATTTAAGGATCTGAAAGTTGTGTTCTGGCTGGAGTGTATAATTAGAGTTGAAGGGGTGAAAAGGTGTGAGAGATATAGAGCTGAAAAGTGAAAAAGGAAAATCGAAGGACAGATGATCCTGAACTTGAAAACTTTGTAAAGAAATGACTGTGACCTTTATCCAAGCAGGATGGGGCTATAAGATAGCTGGGGGATATGGGGTACAGAGAAGATCCAGATCTGTTTAAGAGAGTAGGAGAATGGATTGAAGGAAAGATAACATCACTAGATGAAAGGAGACTGAGCTTGTATGGCCAGTTGTGGACATCATAGCAGATGATGGTGATGATCTGATCTAGAGTAGGGTCAGTTGTTGTTGAAAGGGTAAAAGTGAAAGAAAACTTTGGTTTTGGTTGGTGGGTTAAAGGTGCCTTTGTGGTATAACGATATTTCTATTGATCTATCTATCTCTGTACCTTTCTGTGTCTGTATCATATCTCTGTACTGTAGCCACATTCAGTATTCCTCTTTTACTTTTGTTTATTTTGTAACAATTTCAAACTTAAACAAGAATCATTTGGTAATAGCGACCTGTCTCCTTGATGTACTGCTGTGATCTTTCCTTCAATCCATTCTCCTACTCTCTTAGTATGTGTACTTTAGTATGTATTTTCTAAAACATCTACATTCTGAAAATCATCTACATTAACCACCAAAATTAGGAAATTAACTATTTCAAAGCTTCATTTTTATTTTATTCCAGTGATATCCTTTAAACAAAAGGATCTAATCTTGAATCACCATTGCATTCAGTTGTCATGTATCTCTTTTATATATGCATATGTATTTTTTTCATTGATAATGTTTTATTGGCCATTTAGTTAGAAAAAAGCACTTACAGGGCCTGGAGAGATGGCTCAGCAGTTAAGAGGACTGGCTGCTCTTGCAGAGAACCCGAGTTCGGGTCTGAGCACACACATGGTGGCTAACAACTTTCTGTAACTCCAGTTCCAGGGGATTTGACATCTTCTTCTGGCCTCTGTGGGCACTGTGGGCACTTCCCGACATGGGTATGCTTACATACATACAGGCAAAACAGTCTTACACATAAGAAAATAAAAATGAATAAATAAAACTTTTTTTTAAAGAAAATAAGAGTATTTATTTGCCAAAAAGGATGATCCCCTCAAACCTCTACTTGAACCAGGTTTTCTCCTGGGTGATGCTGTGTCTGGCCTCAATGCATCCTATCCTGTGCTTTCCTGTGATGCTGAAACAAGACTGCCCAGTACCAAATAGAAGCCCAGACCATAGATACCAAGGTTTGGTTCATACTTTATTTCCATATCAGTGTTACTATTACTTGAAAAATGATTTTAGTTTGTTAACTCATACTCCTGCATCTTTAGACCTACTTCTAGGATTCCTGTAACTCTAACTCCACAGACTCTGGTGAGTAGCATTTTCTCTGAGGCAAAAGGTCTGACAGCATACCTTCCTTGGGAACACAGGCCTCTGTCTTGTTAACTGCTTCAACATCCTGGATTCTCAGATCCATCCTGCCCCGCTTTTACCCACATAGTTTTTGAGGGAGAACTTGATGGTGCAAAATTCTGTGGGAGATTCTCCTTTTACCCATGCCTGTGGTAGAGAGCAGGAAGAGCTGTCTTATCTGCTTAATCTCTTTCCATTTGAAAAGTTCCTCTGTGCTCCCTAGACCTTCAGTGTCTAGGTATTTTTAAAAAATATAGACTGTTTTGTAAAATAGTCCTCAAATAGGGTTGAAGAAATGACTCGACAGTTAAGAACACTGAATTCTCTTGCAGAGGACCCAGGTTCAGTTCCCAGTACCCACATGGTGACTAATAGCCATCAATATCTCTAGTTCCAGGGGATCCAATGGCCTCTTCTGGTCTCTATAGAAATTGTACACATGTGGTACACTTAGATACATGCAGACAGAACATTCATACAAATAAAATAAGTAAATAAAATAAATAGACCTCAATTTGTGGTTTTCTGACATACTCTTACAAATAGAGTCAGGTTATGGCTGAGAACTTGTTAGCAATGTCATGGAAGTGATTCATCCTCAATGCAGCCTGCCAGATGTACAGCTCCTATTCATTACATTATTGGAGATCATTCAGCTTGACCACTTCCTTAAGATCATCTCTACCAGATTTCTCCACTGTAAAATTATTCCTTCTCTCCCCTCAACCTCTTAACCTCTAGTTTTAGCATCTCGGATGAATTAATGATTACTATGATAGTTGCCAAATGGTGATTTAAAATTTCTTCAGCCTTTCTCCATTAGTCATTTGGCATTTTATTGTAAAGAAAAAGTTCACCTTCAGATTTCTTTACTCGTTCTTATATTTACTTACATTATTATGCATGTGTTGATTTCTATTTTTAATGCACTATAATGATACTATATTTATTAAATTCTCCAGGCTTGCACCCATAGGAGCCCCTTCAAAGTCTGCCCCTCATTATTTAAGCACTTTTTGTGCACAGAGATGATCTCACCCTCCTTTCTTTACCGTTTGCAGGTAAATGATGTGAATGGGGCTATTGTTACCATTACTTCTCCCATGGCCTCCTCTCCCCACTAGGCCTTCAGCCCCCTGCCCTCCTGGTACTAAGCTACTCAGAAAGAGAGGGAGAGTGGGTGGCAGACATATATACACAGATATGTAGTTTTGTAAATAAAAATTCTAGCTTACTATAGAGGAACATAATTTATTTTTATATATTTTATTTATTTTTATTTTATGTGTATGAGTATATTGCCTGCATGTGTGTAAGTGCATCCATGTCATCCAGTGCCCAGAGGATTCAGAAGAAGGTGTCAGATCCCCTGGAACTGAAGTTATGGACGGTTTTTAGCTGCCATGTGAGTGCTGGGAACCAAACTTAGAGCTTCTGCAAGAGCAGCCAGTGCTCTTAACTGCTGGGTCATTTCTCCAGCCCCATGGGAAACATAATTTAGATAACCAGAAATAATTTGAATATAAATCCACTTACTGATTTTAGAACTCAGGGCCTAACCCAACCTAAGTTCTCCAGTTAATCATTCCCACTCTTAACTGTCTCCTGGTCTGAGAAACTTTTACTGATCATTGCATTTGCTATAATCTTAGAGTCAGAAGCTTAACAAGGAACTATATTCTTTATCCCTTTCCTCCTAACTCCTTTTGCTATGTGGTGGGTAGGTAGATTCATGGTCCACAAAACAGGTGATGTCATACTAAGAGGTAAGCATTCAGTATTTCCCCACTATGCATGTCTTGTTGGAAGAAATAATTTCTGCTTTTCCCTTTCCAGTTGCCACTGGGCTCTGGTTTTCCTGCTGCCCTCATAGTTGATGTACTTTGTCTAATCCTGAAGAAAGAGGAAGCCTGATAGTCATAGGAGGAAGTTTGTTTCCATTTAAGTTTATGCATGAATGTGAGAAGAGAATGGATTTGACTGAGACAAGTTGGTTTGACTGAGCAGCTACTCTTAGGCAGTTTTACATAATGGAAGTATCTGGTTGTTTCCCTCTTTCTGTCCTCATAGTCCAATTTTTTTTTTAAACCTACAGTAGATTGGATTTTTTTTTTAAATGCTTGACAATTGGGCATTTGTCCTGCTCAGTTTAGATCCCTGCCTCCTAGAAATCTGTGGAATTTATTTGAAATAAGAATCCAAATGCTGTAATGTGCCCCAAACGAAGTAGTATTATGGAATTTGGTGGTAATAAGTTAGAAATATAGATTTAGATACATAAAGCACATACAATTTTTATAATTTTAGAATGGTAAATGTTTTCACAGTTTGAGTTTTAAGTTAATAATTCCTCTTTAGACCCTGAAATAACTATGAATTTTTGTAGCTATTTTTTGAGGATTTTTTTTAACTTAAAAAAAAAACTTTATTGAGAATTTCATACATGCATATAAGGTGTTTTGATGTTGCAGTTTTTTTGGTAAGCATTTCTAGTGAGGCATTTTTTTTTAATGAGTGTTCCTGCTTGTTACCTTCTTCTTGCCCTTGTGAGCCCTTACTGTAATTGCCTCAGGCAGAAAACAGGTCTTTAAGTAAGGGCCTGCCATGTCCTCACTGCACCATGACTATATCAGAGCTGAAAATACTGGAGCAAATAAAAGAAACGTGTCATTGGCCTCATAGGATTGATAGTTTTAACATGAACAACAGCTATTCAGTACTGGAGCTATCTGGAGTGCCTTGAAGAAGACTGAGGTCATATGGAAACAGAGGGGTATAAGCTCTATTGGGGGGTCTAGATATAGTGCAGTTGAGGTTGAAGCATGATTATTCAGAGTATCTGTTAGCTGGGGTTGTGATCTGGTTGTGGAACAATCTAGGCGAAAATCTGGTCCTTGTACTTTCTCTCACTTTCCACTCTTCAAGCAAGCAAATCTTCATACTCACCTACCCTACATGCTTACTTTGACTAGGGAATCAGTTTCTTTTTAATGAGCCTTTACATCTCTTTCCATAATTTTTTTTTATTTTAAATTTATTTTTATTGTAAATGTATGTTATGCCTGTATGTGTGTAAGTGCACCCATGTCATGCAATGCCTGCAAAGGACAGAAGAGGGCATCGGAGGACAGAGAGGCGTTGGATCCCATGGAACTAGAGTTATAGACGGTTGTTAGCTGCAATGAGGGTGATTGGGATTTGAACCCAGGTATTCTGCAAGAACAGCCAGTGCTCTTAACTGCTGATCCATCTCTCTAGCCCCCTCTTATCTTGTGGTGCCAACCTAGTTAGGCACTCCTGAGTCAAAGTCTCCAATTTAAGAGTAGGATCTTCCCACAGCAGCTTTCAAATCCATTGCCGCTTGATGATCCTCTTTTCCTTCCCTCAACTCGAATGTTCTATGATTTCCATATGAAGCACAAGCCAGTAGTAAGAACCTTTGCCTATCTGTTGATATTGAATCACTCCCCACATCCAAACACCTGAATTCCATTGTCAACAACCTTCTTTCTCTCCTAATGATGTCAAAACTTGAGAGTATTGAAAAATGTGTCTTGTTCAGAGGAAGTTTACATACATATTAGCTCTGGAGTTTTATATAATCTATACCTAACCTTCAATTGTATAGCCAAATCCCAATACTTATACTTTAGATTTCTTGATTTAAGTTATTCAAAAATTTCCATTTTTATCATAACCATTCCTGCCTCCTACCCCTCCTCCTTCTCCTTTTCATTTTCTTTCCTTCTCCCCATCCAAATGCTGTCCCCCCTTATATGAAGTCTCGCTATGTTATACAGATTGAACTCAAGCCATCCTCAAGGTGTTGGGAGTGTAGACAGTGGCTACCATGTCCAGCTTGTCCCTGAGTTCTTAAAGGGATCAAACCTCTTTCCTTATGTGAGCATTTCAAGTATGGCATCACATATTGTAATCCTCAGGACATAATTTCACACTTAAATTTATATTGTTTAATGACAAGTATGGTATATTTAATAAAACAAAACCTTTCCTTGCATTTTAAGACTGAACTCTGTCTTCATGTAGTTATCACATCATGTTATCTCATTATTTTTGACCTGTGTGGCTTTGCTTCCAGTTATGATAAGTAT